TATTATATAGTGTTGTAATTATTTTTAATTATACAAATATGTATTATAATATATTAATTATTTCTTTTTATGATGATATTTATTCTATAAAAACTTATTTTTGTAATTTTTATTTTTCAAAAAGAAAATTTTTGAATAATCATAAGTGTTGTAATATTACAACACTTTAACTTTAAAAGTAGTAATAGATTGCAATCCTTACTATTACAACATAAGGTAGTAATTATCAATTACATACTACATCTTTACATCAACCTAATGTTCATTTTGTTCATTGTTGTAAGACAAGCTGTATAGACGGACAACATTTTCAAAATAATATGTATTATATGCATAATATATTTTACTATATAGCCATATAATTTAGATTAGTATGATGTATGTATTGTAATATTGTGGTATAATAATAATCGCAATAATAAATTAAAATAATTTCAAATTATTAATTAAAATATTACTAAAATATTACAAATTCTTAATAAAATAATTTCAAATTAATAATATATTTAATTTAATAATTACAAAATAATTTTAATTTTTTTGAAATTGTATTATAAGATCTTTCAAGATGGTTTACAAAAAATTATCGTAATAATAACAAAATAATATTTAAATAATTTCAAAATTTTATCTATTTTTAGCAAAGTACCTTTTACTTTGAGAAATAAAAAAATAAATTTTTTCTCATTTACTTAGAGAAATAAAAAAAAAAATTTTTTTTTTTGTTTATTAAAAAAAAAAAAAAAAAAAAAAAAAAAAAATTTCAAATTTTATAATGATAAACTATTTTTAATAATATTAAACAAAACCTTAAGTCAATACTTGTCAATCTAATAATTAAATTGAAGTTATATTAAAAAAAATTCTATTATATATATCTAAGTAAAAAAAGACTTTATGATTGTCTATTTGTATTCTCTTTAAGAATAAACTAAAAATATAACAAACATATAAATCCTCATATATGTGAATCAGTTCAAAAAATAAATTTATGCAATTTTTAAAAGAACACAATTTTTTTTTAATATAATGCAATATGTAATTGGAAGCTTGATGGATTATAAACTTAAAAAAGAACTGCAGAAGATGAAAGAGTTAAAGGAGATAAAGAAATTGAAGAAGATAGAGAAATTACAGGAAAAGGAGTTGTAAAAAGCAAAGAAGTTGTAAATAATTAAGATAATAAAAAAATGGTTAAGGTGATAAAAAAGATGGTTATAATGATAATTAAAAAGAAAAAGAGCAAGATGATCAAATAGAAAAGAAAGATTAAATTAATATAACTTATTATTTATTATTCTCATCAATCCCATAATGTTTCTTATTTCTGCTTTTAAAATAAAGCTTATATATTAAGTTATTTTTAAATATGTAGAAAGATTACTTTTTTGATTTCTTGTTAAACACAAATAATATATTTCTCATAAAATTGTAAAGGATTTTGTTTTAAAATATAATTTGCCAAAACAGACTGACTTTTCTGATGCAGATTTATTATACATGTTTAATTCTATGATTCAAAATTTATCTCTATTTATGTATGACTAACATCAAATATTGTTCTATAGGTCATATAAAACTAATTTATTGTTTCTATTCAAGTCTTTTAAAATTGAAGTTAGAAACTATAATGCTTATAAAATAATATACTTAGAAGGGAAATGGAGTGACAAGAAATTACAAAAATTTTTAACATAAGCATTAGAAGTAATTATATATCTCAGTAGCTTAAATATCACAAATCTGAATGTCATTCTTACAGTATTGTTAATAAGAACAGTTTTTTTTTTATGTATATTTTTTTATTATAAAAGATCAAGAAGCATTTGAATCACTTACAGAAATTAAATGTAAGCTAAATAATGAATTTATAGAATAATTATTTTTAATGAAGAAAAGAAAGCATAAAAAGGAAAAAGATTGTGATGCAAAGAGAAGGTATTTGACAAATATGGAATATATAGAATTTATACACAGGTCGAAAAGTGAAAAATCAGGCATCAATCAGGCACCAATCGGTCACCAATCAGGTACCTGATTGGTGACCGATTGGTGCCTGATTGGCATTTTCGCCAAATACCGTCACCAATCAGGCAGTTTACTAACTTTTGATCCAGTAATCAGAAAAAGATGAAATATAGCTCATTGGAATCGTCTCAATAAGACGAATCTAATGGTAGTAAAATCGCATCTCTGGGATTAATACTTGATGAGAAATTAAGTAAAATATAAAAATGAAAATGTATCATTTATATTTTATTTAATTTTTTATTAACTATCAATCCTAGAGATGCGATTTTACTACTATTAGATTCGTCTTGTTGAGACGATTCCAATGAGCTATATTTCATCTTTTTCTGATCACTGGATCAAAAGTTAGTAAACTGCCTGATTGGTGACGGTATTTGGCGAAAATGCCAATCAGGCACCAATCAGTCACCAATCTGTCACCAATCAGCTACCTGATTGGTGACCGATTGGTGCCTGATTTTTCACTTTTTGACCTGTGATAGATTTTGCCTTATATTTAGTTAACAAACTGGAAAGAAATAAAAAACAAGTAGAGCAAATCGTACAAATGGCTATAAATAAAAATAAGGTACTAGTGAATATATGGAAAAGTTTAATAAATCAAAAAGATGAGGATACAAAAATTAAAAAATTCGTGGCTTTTACAAATATCCAGTTTGATATAGTAAGTACTTCAGATATTATTTTTTGGGTTTCTGGTTACATTATATACTAATTCTGTAATATTGTATTTAACAGTATTTAAAAATCAAACAGGATAAGGCTTGAAAAGCAATACTTTATTATTGTTTTAGTAGAAGATTAAAACCTGATCCTCTTTAGATTATTAAACTGAAAAAATTTTTGCATATATTCATTCTAATATTTACAAATATACAGTATGCATGTTATGGAAATTGTTTAAACATATCAAATATATTCAGTTTGTTATCTGTTATAAAAAGGGTCATTTTATAAAATTTAATTATTTAACAAAGTTCATGCTAAAGATCTGTATTTGTTATATTAAAATTTGCTATAAAAAGGCAAACTGTATATAATTATTTATACATTGATAAATCCACATTATTTACTTACAAAGTTTGCATTTTGTAAAAAAAAATAAAAAAAATGAAATTAGCCTAGTGTTATTTACCAAAGTATGTTATTAAAGAAGAAAATTTAATAAAATTTTTTCAATGTTGATAATAAATGGGATCAGAGAATGCCTTAAATTATGATTCATATTTATACAGTAACAAAAATTTTACAAAAATTCATTCAAACTTTAATAATATAAAAAAATCAGCATATTGTATTACATATATTGTATAATAAATTTATACATATAAAATGAAGTTTTTTCCTGTTATTTTCTTTCAATTAACAATCAACATGCTATTTATTACAGTAGAACTGGATTTCTAAAACTTCATTCATATTGTATAATAAAACAAACATGCTTAAATTAGATTATATTTACTTTTTTTTAAGCATAATTGAAGTTCTGGAACACTTTTCAGATATTCTTCTATATGTGCGGAAAAAGAAAAGTGAATACCATCAGACTCATCCCAACCTTTGCTACGATTATCACATGATTTCAATCGAATTACAAAGAAATTTTAATGACTATTGTCTGGAGCGAAGCGGAGGACAATGTGTTTCTACGTATTATAAAAATATGTGATCACAGTATTTGAATAAAATTCCGGACTCAAAATGGGTTCCGTTTCCTAGTATAATGGGATTTATAGTACCTGATTAGTGATTATACGTTGTTTTAAAATTATAATTCACATGACGGATTTTAATAACTTTTTCCTTCCATCACCAAGTTCATTTCGCACAAACATTCCATTTATATTAAACTTTTTTGTGAGACGGAACTGCTTTGCATCTTTTCTATACAAACATAATATATGATACATGACATTCCCTCAAGGGAGAGATCTAACCTACACTGACTTCTTTGCTATCTAACTAGAAATATACTAAATGTACCTCTCACACCGCATAACTTTCTCCATTTCTGTTTAGCCGAGTTCCACAAGAGAACTCCGAGAAATGTTTGATCAGACACGTGAGCGTTACACGATTTTAAATAACAGATATGCGAGATATGCGGTTAATCATGATTGTTAAATTAAATCACGGGAATAATTATGCAAGCAATTATTAAAGCGCATCTTCAACATGCGCGTGCATTAAATTTCCAAGACTTCTTGCGTAGAGATAAAACTTTGATAGAAAAGATAGAAAAATATGAAAAGAAAAAATGCAAAATTTTTTATTACACCAGAATTTTCAAAAAAATTAATACAAAGAGAGAGATGAGTTACAAAATAGAGAGAAAAAATATATATATAAAAGAAATTCTTGTAAGAAAATCACACACAACACCATCGCTAAAAACCTTAAAATTTTAATCTTACATTCTCTTTGATTCTTGAATATAATCTTCTCCCTCATTCACCCAATTCAACGTAAAGGTAAAAGGTAGGATCTTTTTTATGTTTTTTACATTCTAAAGGTTCAAAAACACCGAAATGTTTTTTGAATTTTCTAGGTAATTGAAAAGTCATAAATTGATTATCACAAGTTCTATAACCGATACTATTAAACAAAATTTTTCTCGTAGCAGAAGGAGGAGTAGGAGGTAAAGGCAAAGGTAAAATTTGAACTTGTTTACTTCTTTCAATAAACTCTTGATTGATTTTTAAATCATGATCGGATTGTTTATTACAATCATCACAATGTAAATAACCAGAAGTAAAATCTACGTTGGCCAATTTAGCTAAAGAATCCGTATAAGCATTATATTTTTTAGTTAAAACAGTATGAGAGTATAAAGAAAGTTGAGAAAATATATCTTTTCTTTTGTATTCAGGAAATTTGTCTAAAACTAATTTTGAAGATTCTTTATAAAGAGATTTAAAATGATATCTATCAGCTAAAATTAATGAATATAAAGGATTTTTACGAAATTCTCTTTCAAGAAATGTTTTCGCACTTAATAAAACACTATCAACAATATATTTTTCTGAAAATCTTAAAAATTCTTCTATATTATCCCAATCTATCAAAATAAATGTATTTGGATAAATATATGATAATAAATTTTCAAATGTTTTCTTTGATTCCCCTTCTAATACTACTACTGGTGTATTTTCACTATCATTTTGAGTTGAATAATTTGGAGTAGCGCATGTGAACATATCATAAAACATTTTTGATGCCAATCCGATTATATTTTTGTGCACAAGAAATTTTGTGTCTTCTACTACAAATAAAACATCACCATCTATATGATAATGTATGTGATTATTTTGTTGAGACATAATATCGAAGATAATATATAAATATCTATATTTTATATATTTATATGTATATAAAAAAAGAAAGTTTTATTTTTGTTAAGAAAAAGGAATTTAAAGTTATTTATATACCAATTTTCCTTTTATTTCCTAGATTTGGAACAATACACAAATAAATGTGAAAATAATACTTTTTGTAATATTATTGGTTGTGTACAAAGGGATTGCATTTATGATTTTGGCCAAATTAATCTAGTTCGAAATGATATAACTGATCGTCAAGATTTACATCATTATATTGAGAAGACAATTCTTAAAGTCGGTACTAATTAATTGCCGTTATTCGATATAATTGATTCGATATACGAAATAAAATATTTAATAAACGTATAATTTCCTAATTTAAATATTTTATTCTGATTGGTAAAATATAAATTATTGAAATCCTTGCCTAGAGGAATTTATTATGTCCGCCATCCTGAATGGAGTGGACCGAAAAAATTTTCCGGAACGGAATTATACTCCCGATGTATGATCTAATCTCTAAATATAGTTTACTAAAAATAGGTGAATTTAAACATTGTTCATATCAAAGTTTTTCAAAGAATTAAAAATAAGTATAACCACTTTAAGTTAAAATTTTAACTCTTAATTTCCTTAAAGTTTAAATAACAGATAAAAAAAAAAAAAAATCAAAAGCTGCGCTACTGCGATAATTTTTTACAAAAGATTTTGTCCAATCTATTTTTAGCAAATTATAGCTATTTTTAGCACATTCTTCCATTTTATCGTTATTCTTTTTCTGGATAAAAAAGAATTTCATAAATCATAATTCGCAGCAAATGTTAAAAAAGGTATTTGAATATTGAATATAGTTTCATTGAGTTTCATGTCATGGAAAATGTTCATTGTGTTCTTTATCTCAATGAAACGCCAAAATAGTTGGGATCAATAACGTATTATGATCAAAATAATTCAAACAATGGATCAAAATTAACCAATCAGAATTAAACAAATCTGATATAAACGCGCATCTTTATAATAATCATTAACTTGGAATTTGGCAATTTAATTGTTTCTATTATTGCTAATTTTAATAAACTGATATTTATATATACAATCATGTATTATTGTTAATATGTAAACAATCTAATTACAACATTTTAATATTATTAATAGTGGATAAAATACCGTGTCACCCCTATGGGGTGACCGTCCAATCATTAACTACTATTTATTATTATTATTAATTATTTTAGTAGAAGTGCGGCATTTACCTTCTGCCGCCTAATTCAATAAAAATATAATAATCAGGTTCGTCTTTAATATTATCACAATCCAATGGTTCAAAATTTTCAAAAAACATCTTAAACTTTTGCGGTAAATGAAACTGAATATTAATATATCCACAATTATTCTCTTTTATCAAACTAGAAAGTAATTTATAAGTAATAGAAGGAGGTGGATTTGGCAAGACTTGTAAATGTCTAATAACTTGGCTTAACTTTTGTTTAAAATCCTTTAGATGCCTTGTTACATGATTATTAATATGATTAAATCTTGGTACAAAAGTTTCAGCGTCAATTCTACCCAAAGAATTCGTATATTCCATATGTTTTTCAAGTAAAGCAGCACGAGAATCACTTGAAAGAAATTTGAACCCCGTTAATCTTTGATATGCAGGTAATTGGTCTAATACTAATTTAGAAGATTCTTTGTATAAATCTTTGAATTCATACTGTTCTGATAATACTAAAGTTAATAAAGGATTTTCTCTGAAGTATTGTTGTAAAAATACTTTTGATGCTTCCATAACTGAATCCATCATATATTTATCTGATAATTTAAGAAATCCCGCTACGTTTTGCCATGTTATTGGTTGATAATTTCCTGGATAGATATATGATAAAACTTCTTGAAATTTTTCTGAGGATTCATCATCTAATGATATTTCTGGTAATTTTCTTTCTGTTGAACTTTCTTCTTTGGACGGTGTTATTGCTTTCGCACATTTGAACATATCTTGAAATACTTTTGAACAAAGTGATAAAATATTTCTATGCAAGCAAAACGTAATTCCTTTAACTGTTATCAAGATATCCCCATCCGAATAATAATGTAATGAACTTTTTTGATTTATCATTGTTCGTAGTGTTTTAGGAAAAAATATCTTTTTAGTAAATTTTAATTATTTTGTTTTTTAAAAAGACTTGGATAAGTTTTCTTGTTAATTAAAAAAACGTTGACTTTATAAGTTGTTTATATATATCAGTATTTATTATCTCATCACTCATGACGTGTCGAGAAAACACGTGATAATTCGTGTTTCAAAATATCACGTGTATTTGATTTTGATAGCGGAGTTATAGTCAAAGTTATATATGTGTTAAGGATGACTGTAAATATACAATTAATGAGTCATTAAGAGTAACATATTTTTCCAATATTAATCACCTCCCGAAATTAAAATATACTATTATTATACTTTACCAGATTTTTTTTTGCATTATATAATCTATCCATCAACTATCTATTTTAATGCATTATATTATTATATTATAAATTTAGTAGTAATTGTCACTACTGGTAATTTTTTAGTTATGATATATATTTAATGGTTTATTACATATAATTTGTAAAAATTATTTTTCAACTTTCAAATATACTTCCAAGTTCTAACTTCCTAATAGTTTATATCACTAAAGAAGTGAAATATTCACAAAGAATAAGGTATTTGCTTCATTGAAGTTTCATACTAGTTTCATATACTGCAGACCTTTTTTTTTATATCAAATATACATTAGTTAAAAAGAATTTCTAAATAAATAAATAAAGTAATACTATCTATTAATTTTAATAAATTTTTAGCAAATTTCAATTGAAGTTTCTATTAATTATATGACTAAAGATAAGAAAATTTTGTTCAATTTATAGTATATATTATATTAATAAAATTAAAAATATAAACCCACTTTAATACTTTTTAATATCAAATTTTTTTGCTTAAAAATAAGATTCATTAATTCGCAGTTTGTAAAAAATAGAAAGAAATTATTAATAGTCAGTAAGGCAAACTTTAAAAACGTTATATCTTTTTATTTACTCATCATGCAGTTTTCATATAGTAAAAATTTTACTATAGACACATCTTATTATAATCACACTATTTGGTAGTCCTGAGGGGTGTGATTATAGAGGAGGTTAACTGTATACCCAAAACTAGTTCTGCACCATGTAATTTATCTGTATTATAAATAAAAAACGTTTAGGACATTAAGTGACTTGAATAATGTAGTCAAATATTTTTCTTATGGCAATTGGCAATAATTTTAGACCATATATACTAATTTTTTATGCTCAAGCGTATATGCATATTAATATAAAGTAATTTAGAAAATCTGGATTGGCAAATTAAAATTACCAGCGAGGATCCAGGGACTTTATTTTCAAACTTTCTCGCATATTCTCAAAATTATTACGTATATTATTGTAAAAGGATCTTTTGATGATCTTTATATATGGATAGCATTAAAATTTTTTTATTATTAAATTATAGAGAGTCTGTTGATCAGATTTTTGTGATGCAATTATATTAATATAATTTTTTCAAAAGCATATAATAAAATCGATTCTGTAAATTATATAAAAAGGTAATGACCTGGTTAGTGAATCCTTTTATCTGTCTTGTACAAGTAAAATGAAAAATCTAAACCAATCTAATATAATTAAATAAGTCCATATATTTTACAAAGTAATAATAAAGTAAGTTGGTTTATTGCTCAGCTAGTTTCTCTAAACATGTCATCACGATTCCTACCTCTATAAATATTCTAAAATAAAACAAACATATTACTCTTTTTATTATATATCAGTATTTTGATTTTTGCCAAGAAAATCTTTGACAATCATCATGTATATAATAGACGTAGTGAAACTATTCACATGAATCTCGTCATATACCTTAATATCATGCTTCTCAATAAAATTTAACACAATGTATTTAATAAATTTTCAATAATAAACATTTTTATATGCCAAATTCTTGGTATTTGACACAGGTAATAAAAAAATCAAATTACCTTTATTATAATGCATTAAGTAATAAATTTCAGGCAGAATGGAATGTTATGAAAATTAATAGTAATAGTAAGTGTGAATCAGAATTTTTTTTTTAATTTATACTGTAGATTTAAAATTATTTAATTTCAGAAAAGTTTTCTTGTAGGAAATAATCTTTTATATAGACTGTGTAGGTGAGAGTGATATAGATAGACAAAAATTCTGTAGATATAGATAGGATTAAGGTTACCTACCTAAACCTCTCCAAAATTCTATGATTAGTTTCTCCAAAATTTTACTATAGTTTTATTATAGTTTCGACAGGATTTCAGCAGTTTCAGCATTTATAATAGATTTTGTCAGGTTTCACTTTTTTCCAGAGTTTTGCCAACTTTTTAATAAGATTTTCATATAGTTTTAGCAAAGTTTCACCATTTTGGCATTTCGCCAACTTGCCAAAACCCCTTAATTTCTCCAGCAACCTTAAGCAGGATAATTTATTTTAAAAATCTAGTTTAGTAAAAGAGTATAGGATGAAAATCTTAGCAATAAGAACAAATTAGTTATAGATATTTTTCAAAATTTGTGAGAGAATAAAGAAATAATTTGATGCTGAAACTCACATTAAATGGTTTAGGATTCACATACTTATTTTTTTTTTTGATAGCATTATATATTTTATTTGCTTCTCTAGCATTTTTTGATTCACTATGTATCTAAAAAATTATTTAAATTATTTGATTTGAATCATTATCATATGATTATTGGAAGTTATCATAATTTACATAAAAAATTGTAAAATCATATTAGTTTATCTATTTTTTTTTAAATTCTCTATGAAATCTAAAGTATATTAAAAGATGAATATGTACAAACTTTTAAGTTTTTACAAGTTTATACAATAATTTCTCACCTTTCTTTTTATATAAAGAAGATACATAAATATTTCAAATGAAAAATATTTCTTTGGTGAATGCAATATCGAACCATTTAGAAAAAAAATAAAGAGTTACCTTTTGTCTCTTAAGAGTATTACCAATACAGAGAAGGACCAAAAATATGATAAGGTATAATAGCTAATTAGAATTACAAGCAGGCAAGTGTTAAGTTTTTTGTTTTTTTTTTGTAAATTTTTTTTTGAATACATGACATAGTAAAGAATCTTATAAGTAGTGTTAGGACACATGTCACATGTGACCTGTATTCAAACTTTACAAGTCAACTCAATACTAATACAGATGACCCTACAAGCCTGTCTGGTTGGATGAAAATTAGATGGAATAAATGGGAACATGATATTTAAGAATAATATTAATTTCTTATCCATTTTAAGGGTCAGATTATGATTTAGCAAAAGATTGAAAAAAGGAACATGGAGAAGTTAAAACCAAAATTAATAGATCTTTGATTTACATTCATCAACTGACTTTCAATGAAAAAACTAATAATATTAGAATTACTCAAGGCAGAACTTTTATTTCTTGATCAAAACGAGATCAGAAAAAGATACAATTGAACATTTTTTAGTTTATTTCTAATTCTTTAAGAAGATGAAGAACATAGAAAAATAAAGCAGATATATTTTTATAAAAAAAAGTCAAAAAAAAAAATTAATTTAAAAGAAAAAGTCAGTATATAGTAACTTTAATTTTATCTGCAAAAAAATATATTTTACAGAAAGTAATTGAGTTAATCTCTTTTAAGAAGATATATTGTTCAACAATATCATACTTGAAAAGATGAATCCTCTAAAACTAATACCATTAGATGACGATAATTCCTTCAAGATGATGATGTTTCTTCTCTAAAAGAAACTTTCAACTTTATCCTTAAATCTTATCCTTGAGATAAAACGTTGATGATATTGTCACTAAAAAAATATCTACAAATGTAAAGGCAATAAAAAAAAAGAAAAAATTATTACTTGTAGAAAGAGTTATACTATACTATAAATCATCACAAATTATTGACTTATCTGTGCACATGAAATGATGATTTTCTCTAGAGGATAGAGAATTCATGATGAAAAATTATGTGTCTTTGTTATAAATTTCCAACCTGACAGACGAAAAAAGTTCCTTTATTACAATTGTAAAAAATATATATATATTGTTTCAAATTTATCTTTTTATACATATGTATGCCAATAATAACAGTTTAAAGATATTAGTCTTAATTATTTTTTAAAAAATTTTGAATTATAGCTATAAGATTTTTATAGCCTTAATTAATTATAGCATATAAAAATTTTGTATTATGACACTTTTTTGAATTACAGCTAATATCTTTAGAATAGTATCTGCGAAAGATTTGTAAAATATATTTTGATTTATTAGTATTTTTTCTACTTTATATTACTTTGATTCTTTATCTTTTATGATTGAATTCTAATAATTTAATACTTATAGTATTTATAGAAGCAAAGATAACAGTATATTAGATCTTGCACATATAGAGATCGATATAATACTCAAAGTATACTTATACATTATTGAAGGTTTAAAGAAGAGCATATTAGTACAACAAAAATAGTTAGTATAAATAAATTCGCTTATTTTATGATTTCATTCTCACAAATTATTTATTATAATTTTATATTAAAATAAAGGGTGAGTCTTTTTGCCTATTAAATAAAAGCACAAATTACAAAAAAGATCAAAAATGTAATGTATGCTTCTTGTCACCATCAGAAATAGACATTGATAAATAGAAATTTACATTAAACATAATATCATAAAAGGCAATTAGTAATCGTTATTACTTAACCTGAATAAATCAAATAATATTAAATAGCTTATTAATACAGATTAAAAAGTGAAAAATCAGGCATCAATCAGTTACCAATCAGTCACCAATTAGGTAGCTGATTGGTGACTAATTGGTGACTAATTGGCATTTTCACCAAATACCATTACCAATCAGGCAGTTTGCTAACTTTTAATCCAGTGATCAGAAAAGAATGAAATATAGTTTATTGGAATCGTCTCAATAAGATGAATCTAATGGTAGTAAAATCGCATTTCTAGGATTAATACTTGATGAGAAATTGAGTAAAATGTAAAAATAAAAATATATCATTTATATTTTATTTAATTTTTTATTAACTACTATTAATCCTAGAAATGCAATTTTACTACTATTAGATTCGTCTTATTGAAATGA